AATTTAGGTTTCAGAAAAGTAAAGCAATAAGAAGGGAAAAAAAGGCACGTAACAAACCATTACATTCTTCAACGTAGCTTGTATCTTTTAACATTAAACCTTGATATTTTCCAACATCACCCTTGGCTTCCTCCAATATCCGCTCTTGAAGTCTTTAATATTGTCCTCTTTTTATCTTGAGTAAACAAGATAACTAGGAAATTCCTATTTACTGGAAAATAATTTTAAAACAAATATGAAGTTAATTTGTATTAATGAAAGATAATTCTCGTTGAAAGACAAAAATGTGATTTTTTTTATCCTACTTAACCTCTGAACGTAGTTGAGCTTCGCTTACTGCAAAATTGGTATGATTCATTTCGAGAGGATTGTCTTCTAAGAACGCTGAGATTCGTTCCATCAAGTTTGGTAGAGTTTGGTGTATTGGGTGTAATTGGGCGTAGGCTATCATTTTAAGGGCCAGATGGCGAGATGAGTAATTTTAGGAAATTGCGTCCTCCCAGTCTCCCGTACGCGTTCGTTGAACACTACGGGGATCAACATAAGGCGATTTGCTATTCGCCCGGAAAGTACGCTTTCAAAGAGTACACCTTTCGGAAAGTAAACGTAGCGGTAATTGAATAAGGTGGTGTCACCGAATTACCGACAAAATTTTGTTGAAAATTTTATCTGCAGTCAAAAATGAATTGAAACAAAAGGAAAATTGAGGAAATTATTAATTTTGAATTAAGCAAGAACGTAATAACTCTTGTAACTCCATATAGCTATACTTCTGCGGTTCAATTAACGTCATATCAAATAGTAGACCCCCTTAGCTCTACACCGTTGATATTCAAGTAGCGGTAACAAGTGCAGATGACAGGCGCGCAGCTTGTACGTTACGTGCCCTCCCAATTGCCTGTGCTGATGGTAACACTACGTCACCGACATACGTTCCTCCTCCTGTTCCTCTTTTCGAAGGATATTTCCAAACGGTGATGCATTACCAGGTGAAACCGACCGCGAGCTACGATATGTGTTTGGGATCAATCGGCGATTGTTTGTCAGCGTTTGTGACGCTACCAAAAATAAAAAGTTCATCACTGATTGTGGTCCCCTATAGAAGGGATGATATCGTGCTTTGAAAACCGGAACAGGGCGATTAATCCTTTGTAAACGTATGTCGCGTACAGCTTATGATTATTTTTATGTCGTATTATAATCTAATTTTTGTTTAATACACAAAGAAAATGAATCAAGAAAAAAATCTTTAAATTCTACGACATTACTTAAAAAACAACAATCAATCCAAGGGTGCAGCATTATGCAGAGATGATACAATTAAAGCCGGTTATCACACACAGCGTGTTGGATGTTCCAAACGACATAGTCCTATCTCCCATTGTCATCAAGAATTTATGTTCTCTATCTATTACTCATGCGATCATCAAAGACTGAATACAATCGACCCTTATCTGCAATTAATTCAGCCTAAAGCAGGCGCAGTTGGGTGTCGCCCTAGGGTAGGTGTGTTCGTGACTTATATGGCACATGAATCTCTCTCTCTCTATATTCAAGAGTTTACGGATATATTCACCACACTTTAAGATGACAACTTTGCCTATATGGGGTAAGATTTGTGAATAGAAAGTGCAGTAAAATGCCTCTATTAGCAGCCAGTTCTAAATTTGCAGATAACTCGTCGAGATTAACGTTTGATATATACCTATTATTAAGTAATCCAAACGGTGTTACCGATAGTTCCCTTAATTCCACCAGTGGAACTTTCTAACTCCTTTAGCGTACCAACCGTAGAGGAATTTCGGGGAACGGGAGGTAATTGCATCGATAAATCGTTATAAAATTCAAATATAGGTAAATTGATAATTTCGCGATCCGGATCCGCGTTTAGTTCGCACCCGGGCGTCCTGATTTACACCGCAATATCGATTGGCAATTTGAGACCCCGTTGGAGCGCCTTTTAGACGATGCCCTCCTCGAATGCGCTAATGGCATCGGTTATGTGACAAGCCCGGATGTATATGACCGAGAATCGGGAAAATGAGATTCGCTCGAGATGCTTCCAACTACCAGGTACGTGGATAACTCAGTCGTTTGCAATGGATTTTCGAGTACAATCCAATGCTGAATTTATTAAGATAAAATCATTTCATTTCATCAAAGATTTAGCCATGCGTATGTTATGGCGGCTAAGCTCGAATGTTAGTTCTAGGTCTAGTGTTAGTAATACTTTTAGTTCAATAAAAATATACTATATCCTGGATCTGAATGCTGCATAACAAATAAAACTAGTGCTAACACTAGCACTAGAACTAGCACTAGACTTAGAACTAGTAACATTCGGGTTTAACCGTTCGTCTCGTTAGACTTCTAAACTCGAATGTCTCTAGTTCTAGGTTTAGTGTTAGTTCTACTCTTAAAAGACATAAAAAACGCAGCCTAGGCCACAACACCTATTTTAACACCAAAACCTAAATCTAACATTTATCCTAAATTCATTAGAGACATAAAGCTAAATAAAATAAAAAAACAGCTGATTATTCTCTGTAGAAGGCAACTAGCTTAATGTTCGAAAAACACATACACCTCCAATAATAATAATGGAAATTGGGCTAAGAGGAATCAACAAAAAGTTTATTTGTTTGCTGAACAGAAAGAAACTTTTACATCAGACCGTCCAATAACTATGTTAAATAGTGTTCCTAGCATAATTCAATGTGATCAGCAGAGTAAAATACTACGTGTAAGAATGAAAGAACTGTATTATGAAATTCAAAAACTAAATATAAAGTAATCAGTAGGCAATTAGCTATGAGCTAATTAATGGAGAAACATTGAAACTCTACCAAACTCTACCAAAACGGGCGGTTACAAAACTATTACAAATAATTAATGCTACTTTTAAACAGAAATACTTCCCAAATATATGGAAAGTTGCTGAAATAATAATGATACCAAAACATCATATAGGCCAATCTCATTATTACCCTTACTTTCTTAATTAGTATTGAAAAGACTAAATCCTGGCATAGAAGCAAAAGTCCTAATACCAACACGTCAATTTGGGTTACGGAATAAACATGCAACAATAGACCAAGTGCATAGAATAACGAATACTATCGAAATAGCAATGGAAGAAACTAAAGTTTGCTCCGCCATATTTGTGGATTTTGCACAAGCTTTCGACAAAGTCTGGTTAGATGATTTAAATCACAAACTAGACCAAATACTACCATCAACGTATTGTCAACTACGTTGTTGATATTGTAGAGTAAAATAAGAAAACGCTTATTCACCACTACATGAAATACAAGCCGGAGTTCCTCAAGGTAGTGTGCTTGGCCCAACACTGTACTTACTCTACACATTCGACCTTCCTCAGATACCAGAAATTTTAACAGCTTCATTCGCAGATGACACAGTGATCTTGGTTGTTGCAGAAAATGAAGTAGTTGCAGTAAGTACCTAAGTTACAATCGACTTTAAATTCAATAGAAAACTGAACCAAACGATGGCTAATAAAATTAAATACAAATAAATCGACATAGATAAACTTTACTTATAAGAAAGTAAACTATGTCCCAGTACACATAAATGGCAATGCAGTCCCTTACGCCGACACAGCAAAGTATCTTGGTATGAGGCTGGATGTCAAACTCAAATGGAAAGCTCACGTCAAAAAAAAAGTGAGGAACTTGATATCAAATTTAGATACCTATATTAGCTTATTGGCAGAAAATCAACGTTATCACTAAGAAACAAGTTGCTAATATACAATCAAATATTGAAACCAAAATGGACATACGGAATCCAACTGTGGGGTTGTACCTGCAAGACAAATGCAAGTCTGATTCAAAGATTCCAAAACAAAGTACTAAGGTGCATAGTGAATGCACCTTGGTATATAAGAAACACCGACCTCCATAGCGACTTGGAAGTAGCATCAGTGTCATCAAAAATTGCATCATTCGCATCTAAACATGAAAAGAGAACGCACGATACAACTACTCATATGTGTAAAGCAGACTGAACCACTGGGAAAAGCTGCAAAACATTATTTTGTTTAAATTTGTGTCAAAAATAACTAACTAATTAGTATGTATTTACTAGGTGTTAAACAATTGTGCTATGCATAATATAAAAAAAAAAGTTCTATTCTTAGTTCAATAAAAATATTAAACAATCTAGCGCTGCATAATAATTAAAACTAGAACTAACACTAGACCTAGAACAAGAGTCATTTGGGTTTAGCCGTACTTCTCTTAAGACGGCTAAACCCGAATGTTTTCAGTTGTAGGTCTAGTGTTAGTTCTTGTTTTAGTTCAATTAACACCGACCATGAAAGCCTTTGTACTTAAAAAATTAATCACCTTGTTCTAAGAAAACGAAGATGTAGGAGGGAAATATTTGTGGTTACGTGCTTCAAGAACCGAATGCATTAGGTGCAATGGAATGGCATTCGTCGTTCTAAACTAATGTAAATGCCGTCCAGAGGGTCTTAAGAAAAATAGGACCAGAAAGTCGCCGGGAAAACTCCCACTAACCCGCGGAAACAATTTCGTCCGGCATTGTTGTGCAGTCTTTACTGCAGCAGTTTGGTTCGCAAAGTAGGTCCCAGAGGGGTCCAAATGCGATCACGTCCCGGGCGTCGCGACGACCAACGGTCCGCCCGACGGTGTTGGCCCCTTATCGTATTTTACCTAAGCGGGAAACTTTCGTTTTGCACCTTTTAACTCCGCTCGGCGCCGTTTTTGCCTCCCAGCCTGAGATATCAAATATTTACACTGTTTCCTAGATGATATCGCGCCCTGTATTTAGTAGTTTTAATTAAAAGTTTTGCGAAGGCAATCGTAGTAATTGTTATGAGGTATTCAAAAAAACGACGCGAAAGGTGCCTTGAGAGATGAAAAGAACTCAACTTAGTCTGTTTTCACACCCATTCTATATTTCGTAAATAATAAACAACCAAATTAGTAATTAAAGAATTAAAATTAACTTACATCTTACTCTAAGTAGAACAGGTTTACTCATCGTTTCACCTCTTGGATTTGCAGCGAGGCAAGTATAGGATCCTCCTTGCCACCTGGTAACGCGTTGAAGCACTAGACTGTGCGAGCTGATTATCACTCCATACGAAACGTTCTGACTCACCAGAGTGCCCTGTAATTTAATCACGTTAATATTCATAAATTATTCATGGCGCGTTGCGAAATATTAAGATTTCTGGTATGCTAATTAAGCTAATTGAATCTCTTGTCAGTCAAGAGATCCACTTTGCGAAAGTATAACAGACACTTGACTTATGTCATCGTATGTTTACTCTCGTAAATGAAAATAAAATGACCTATAAAATGTATTCAAGTGGAATTTTCGCTTAAATACATGAAAGAGATTAATTGAAATAGAATTGTTGGGTATAATTGACGTTGTAAATGCGAATAATGCAATTACGCTCTCTCTGTAAATATCTGATGAAGCAGAGCGAGTATTCTTTTGAAGTTCATCTTGGATTATCCCGCTTGTCGTGTGCTATTTTAATTATAACACGTTTATAAGAACGTTTCATTTCGACGTTAATTTTTTTAACCATTTCAATATATAACACGAAATCTCTAAATTTCTTGCTGTAAAAACAGTGCTCTTTGCGTGATATCGCCAAGTTTGTTACGAAACAAGAAGCGACAGTTCAAATACAATCGAACATCACTCCGGTACGTGACGCTAAGCCGTCGAAACGTTCGAGTTGATCGAAGTAGAACTTCCCCCAGTTGTCGATAAACAAATCGGACTCCCAGGACTCCGTCGCGCGTTCCCGTTCAAACAAACGGTTCAAGGAACAGGCTTATTGCGAACTCCGCCTTACTTCTATGGGACGGACGGGATAAGGTTTGTTGTCCGGGAGACACGGGCCAAACTCAAATATTGGCTCGTTTTAGCAGGAACGGACTTTTACTTCGAAGAAACATAGGATACGACGTCTTACCGTATCAACAAAGCTTCTGAAGGTATATAGACCAAGAGAAAAACAATCAGAAGAAATTTTTCTAAGGTAGTAATTATTAAATTTAAAATATTGACTTCAAACTTATTTATTTAATTAAAATCGCTAACTATGAGATGAAAGGAGCCGTTTTTAGGAGGCTTTAAATTTAAATTGCGTCGTATACGACGTAAATTAAACATCGAGGCGGCAGCAATAAGGGACATTTTACGACGGAACGATTTAACTTTATCACGGAAACATTCTTGATCGAATCAAATACAGTTGGGATCCTATAAAGCGGGAAAAAGGTGCATGATCCGCGATCTGATCCGACTTAATCCTGGCATGATTAGTCTGCCAGGAAGGGACAGGAAAGTTTACGGAAACTTCGCAAGTTCACCCCAACTAAAGTTACTTTCACCGATTCATCAATACAGCTTTTACCATCAACGAACCCTTACAAAATATGTGAGAAATCGCAGTATGTCTGTATACTGAGACGGAAAAATAACCAGAGTTTAGTGTCTGGATGGTCGTAATTTACTATTTTTAGATGGAAAAAATCGCTGAGGATAGGCTCGTCCCTCGAGGGACATAACTTCAACGTCTCCTCGTTTTCAAGCCGAAACTACCATAACTTCTCTTTAAGGATATTTTCAGCCGAAATAAAAGATAGGCGATTTCGGTTTTAAGATCAATTGATTTTCTATTACAATAAAAACGTTAATATAAGTTGCTACGCTTACTTTATAGTACTCCGACGGTATTTGTATTTCGTGTCTAATACGAAGTAATTATAAACTTTTTACACCACGATAAAAGTTTCCGTGCACGACCTAAGTTGTTTGCGACTAAACGCCGAAGAGTGGAAAAATACTTTTTACACTATCGGGAACCTTAACGTTCTCGACATATGTGACCAGTTTTGACGTAAATCTCCGACACGCGTATATTTATTTTTCGTCGTATTGTAACACCTTATCTGCAAAGTTATTAAAACTTTTTTACTAATATTAACTTTATAAACTTATTACAATAAAATATAGGATAACATTTGTAATAAAAAATGTTGGTCTATAGTGTTAGAGTTATGTGTTAGTATTAGAGCTGTATTAGCTTCTTATTTGAAATGTCAGATGAGGTGGAGTATGTGGGTTTTCAACACATTTGATCATAAATGGCTTTATCAACTCTTCAATATAGTGGCGCCTCATAAACCAGTTCAAAACCCCCGTGTTCATACTAATATGCGTCCATGGCAGATGAGCTACTACACATGGCAGTCAGACTAATCTTAGGATCTCCTGACGAAAGACACATGGAACCCACTAAAATACCAAACGATCCTAATGAGGACCATATGACAAACAATCTAGGAAAAACTCTCCGAATTTGCCAACTTAATATACAAAAAAGATCTTCGAGAGAACGACATAGATCTGGCTGTCATTCAAGAGACCCACACAGATAGCGACCAACAACTGGGAGCCTGAGGGAAGATACCAGGATATGAAATTTGGGGAACATTCAAATCGGCAATAGGAAATATGGCCCAGACATAATATAGGGAATATGACACTGAATCTCTTATTGCTAAACTAATGAATGCAGAATTATCCGTAATCACACACTGAGGAGTACCAAATTTAAAAAAGAAAACACCATAGACAGCATCAACTTCCTACAGATCCGCAGATCTGTTCAGATTTTGTTAATTAATTTTTAATATTTTTTATTCATTCTCTATTTGATTGGTTAAACCATGCGTTGGCCAATAAGATCATTCCTAGAGTTAAGAGCGTCCAGGGGGAAAAACGTTTTCCTTTTGTTTTCCTTCCCTCCCTGTTGTTTAATTGCTAATGTTGCAATTATCTAATTGGTTGAACCATGCGTTGGCCAATAAAGACTTTCCTAGAGGAAAGAGCGTCCAGGGGGTAAAGGTTTAAATATTGAGGAGGAGCGCATTTTGAGTCAGTTTTTCGGTTTGGATTAAAATTAATTTCTCTCTTCTTCGGCGAGACAGTTCAGTTTAAATTAATTTAAATTTCTCCTTTCGGAAAAGTAACTTATTTCGGTTTCGGTTAAGAGTCTTAGTGGAAGGTTCGAGTGAGACTCCGGTTTTTCTTTGTGTTACACTTTTTAAAGAGTTACTCCTCTCAATATGATCGCTTTAACCCTTGGTAAGTCGTTAATGTTTTATTTTACATATTAACTTGTAAAGATTGTAACTAATTGCTTTAGCTTTTTCTGATTTGGTATGAACCTACGTAATATTCGATATTCTTTTGTATTGTTATTTTTATTAAATTGATTAAGTTTTGTAATTTGTGGAACTTAAATTTTTTTTTTAATATTTTAAATTAAATTTATAATTATAATTTCTTTTGTTGTTGATTAATATAAAGTTTTCGAGTTATTTTTGTAGCTAAACTTTGTTTGTTTCAATTTATTTTAACTTTAATTCTGTTATTAATTTAGTTTGTATTTTATTTTCTTTTGCTATTGTTTTGATTTTCATTCATTAAATTTATTATTTAAATTTAACTTGATTTCTTTTATTAAATTTCATTTAACTTTGCTCCCTAAATCCAAGCCAGCGTGACAAGGTTCTGCTTGTCGCATACGCCTTTAGCAAGCCCACACAACATAGTAAGAGCCGCTCCTTACAACTCCATTACTTGGAATACGAAGAACTTATCAAGAAATTCAACGAGGAAATATTATGTAAAACAGAGGAAATTAAGAATAGAAAAAGAAACAAATTGGATAGATTGGTAAGAGACAAGAATAATAATATCAAATAAAACGCGCTCTCTAGTGTTAGGGCCAGTGGTAAGACTACCGAAAATAACAGTAGAAATAACTCCAACGCTTATCTAAATAGTATAGACCTGAACTACTCACCCTCTTTTTTAAATTTAAGAGATTAACGGTACAAAAGTCCACCCTATTGGCAGAATTGAATGATCTGGACAATATAGACTTTGCCCCACGATACACTAATCTCAGTAATACAGCCCTTGGTACCGAAGACATTACTGGTATCCTAAACTTGGGACACAAATTCAGCCTACCAGCAAAAAACCAACCCTTGTACATAGCATTAAAGCTAGAGTCACAACTTACCTATAATGACAACCTGAAAATGATTTTCCAAAAACTAAAATCCAAAATAAAAGACAACGACCTTGTGCCAACATTGGGCGACAAAGATGCAGAAACTGTCATACTAAACAGAGATACTTATAATGCCAAGACTCTAGAGTTCTTCCACGATAACAACATAAAGGAAATCCAAACTAATCCCACAGTAAGTTTTGATAATAAACTTAGAAACTTTATCAGAGATAATCTAACCTATTTACATAATTTTAAGATTAACACATTTTACTCACTTGAAATGAACCCTCTCGTTCTAACTCTCAAGTGTCTTATTATGTTGCATAAAAAGGAAAAGAGCATCAGGCCTATTATTACTAACTCCAATACTTTACAAAATTTTCTATTTCATCATTTCCAACATAATCAGAAAGGCGATAAAGTCTCAGAAATACAAAACATATATTATAATATGCATAATGCCTACATCAATAAAATAATGTACCCACACTACAAAGTGAAACATAAATATATTACTCTACCATACCTACCTAATATACTCAACACCCTCACGCGTATTTTGGCAAAATATAATCTTACTTCAGCTTTTGTCTCTCAGAATAAACTTAATAAGCATATCTTCAACAATGAACGATAACAATTCAAAGATAAAGAGTTAAGTGGCATTTACAAAATCAAGTGTCCAGTTTGTGATAAAATATACCTTGGTCAAACTGGACGAAACAACTTCACCAGATTTAAAGAACACATCTCCAAGGAAAAGTCTGCCGTTTTTAAACATATACAAGAAACTGGACACTTAATAAATTTCAACGACGTCGAACTGATCAATAATATAAAAAAAAATAGAGAAATGAACTTATTGGAGGAATATCATATAAAGATTAACAACGTCAATGATCAACTCATGAACGAAACGACCGAACTGATTAGTTATAGATTTTATAACTGCTTTGTTTAATCTGAGAATGTTCCCATAATGAAAGAATCTTTTTCAACTTCTCACTCCCTTTACCAACATAATCTCCTTTTCATATTCGCGCTTGAACCGCTAATGTTTACATGACTCATTTCATCTAACCTCAAACCACGCAACGTTTTGTTTTACACCGTGTTGACACTTTGATTTGTTTTTTTCGTCTTTTCGAACTTATTGTTATTGCATGAACATAGTATATTTTTTCTGCTGTAATTACCGAGTACGGTGTTATAGTATTATATTGTTTTTTTTAATTAAGACATGTAAGTAAACAACTTTATTTCTGTAACAACGTATCATTGTTGTCAACGCGAAAATGCCGAATTTTCAGGCTTTAATCAGAAATGAAAAAGTTTTTTTTTAGTTCAAAATTTTTTAAACGTTACCCTTAAGATCCAGTATATTACTCCATCTGGAAATGTTATCCCTTTGGCTTCGTTAAAGACAACAATAGATGTTTGATCTTTTTATGTATTGGTCCCTCGAACAATAACGCTATATAATATATATATAGCGTTATATATATATATATATATATAGAATATGCAATTTGTAGTAGTTGATATTTGTTTGATGTACTTCCAGTCGTGCTTGAAGACAGAAAAGATGTTCCGAAACATGTTGCACCGAATTTAAATTGCTAATAATGCTAAATTTTTCATCGTCAAACGTGAGTTTTTGTTTCTCCAAATTAATATATACGATGAACACTGATTCTCTTATTGCTAACCTAAATAACTAGCCCTTGTAAATAACGAGACGAGTGGTAATCGTAGTCGGAATCTGAGACTCTGGAGACTCAACACTAGCCGAATTTTCAGCAAATTTAAAATTTTGACAAATTACGCCTAGAAAAATGATTGAAAACCATCCAATCACTTCATTTTAAAAATTCAAGCAGATTAGCCGAGGTCGTTTGCAATCAAGGCGATGGAATATATTGGTAAGCATTGTAGAACCGCGGCCGCCAGCGACTGCGGCTTAATTAAGTAAAATATATCTTCACAAAGCAACTGGTAATAACATTAAACCCATTATTCTATTATTTGTGTTAGTAATTATTCTGATTACTGTGTATTTGAATTGATATATTGTTCACAAGAAAGCGACTAGCTATCACATCCATTTGGTTTAGGACTCCTCATTTGCACCTTTGTACCGAAATCCTCTATTACATCACATAGATAATTAATGACCCAACGCAACGTTGTCACAAAGTATTTAAGAGTAATGATGAAGTGTTTGCACAAAATAAGATGCGCATGTCCAGCAACCGCTATCTATATGCAAAATTTATTGCCAAATTCCTAGCCACTTTTGCAAAATGACTGATTTGTATAACAATATATATATAGTCTTCTACACAGAACGATTTAATTACACAAATTATTATGAATAATTGTAAAAAATATAGAAGCAAGGGAATTGAAAAAATAATTGTGCAAAATGTTGGGCTTATTTGTTAATAAAACGAACAAGTTAACTGAAGAAATCAATTATTCTATTGTGTCAATTTAAATCAGGAAGTTAATTTTAAACAAAATTATCAACATGTATCATATAAAGAGATAATTAATAATTTCTAAAATTTTAGTATTTCATCGCAAATTAATTCAATATTGATTACTAAAAAAAAAATTAATTTCGCCAAGTCACAAATATATTTCGAATGCCGTGAGGCGTTAATTGAGGTTTGACAACAGTTCAGTACGCTGTCGAACTACAGGGATTTACAAGCCTTCGGGCTCACGCCTAGGTCGAGTCAATTAAATTGGCGTTCGCGCAAGCATTTCGGGTGATATTAAATTTTAGAACCACGCCCCACCGGCTTCCCAGTGCGCATAATCACATATACCATGCACGCCATGCACGGAGTTTACTTACATCGTGGTACCACGTGATCTTGTGCTGCTTTGGATTAGCCTTGATGTTGCACTCGAAGTACACGTCATCACCTTCTTTGATGTCCTCTGGGTTGAGGGTACTTCCTAGATGGAGGGTTACTTGGGGAGGATCTGAAAAGAGAAAAGGTTCAGTAAGACGCTACCGGGGACTCTTTAAAGGATAAATGTGAGTTCGGCTGCGATGCTCGCTCTTTAGAGGCATTCGAATACATCATTTACCTTTTCAATAAAAGTTAAAAAACAATATTTGTATCTTTTAAAACAGTTACATATCATTGCTTATTTAATGAAATAAATTTGGATAAGAACGGAACAACTTTTAATGAATCAATAGTTCATGGCTACTAACGTAGATAACGTAAACAGTTGTGGTAAAAACGAGGAAAAGATTTATTGTCGTGTTTGTGAGCCGTCGATTAAATCTAGAAGTCCACAGGTCAGCGGATTTAGGATTTGAGTTCGCACGGTTGCGTAAGTGCGAAAGATTAATGTCCCATGAAGCAAGAGCGTTCAGAAACGGACCGTTTAACTTCACAGAAAATATTTTAATTCTATCGTGAGTTAGAAGCGTTAATTACTATTTCGCATTTCGATTTGATTTGAACTGATTGTCTTTGGAATTATTGTTAATATTGCTTTATTAATCTGTGTATAAGAAAATAATGCTTGGTAAATCGATCAAAATCGTTTTCAACATGATGAAGTTCAAAAAAATTGTTTTCAATACAGAGATAAAAACTGGTGAAAAAAGAGTATTATTCGGTTAATAATCTCGCAGCGTACCGCAAATGTAAAATGAACCCACAAACGTTTGTGGTTACAGTAGTGGGAGGACTTCATTCTAAAAAGTAGGAAAAAAATGAAAATGGAAAATTAAGAATATATCTGCATTTTACAAAGCGAAATAATTACTGAAATTGATGAACTTTATAATGATTTATCGATGAAGATTACAGGTACTTAGAAAAAGGTGTTGGTGGTGAATATGGCTCTGACCAAGAATATAAACCAAGTGGGACTCCTGGAATCAACTTCGATATCAGGAGAAGCGGAATTCAATAATTTTGTAAATAATTTTTAAACTCTGAATCATTTATTTTTTCAGGGACTTCAAATATGTCCAAAATATTGATAGTAGTTTGCGAAAGGCAATATAGCGTTGAAACAATCACATACAAACTTATCAGTCGATAAATCCAGTTGTCATCAAGCCTCTTTGAGCTAGCACAGAGGAGTGATATCTCTTTTTGATATCTTATGATGACTCTTCTTGTTGAAACAGAAATGCAGAAATGATAGGGCTACCTTAGAGAATTGTGGTTAATAATAAACGAATTATAGATACCCACCGAGCATGATGGGCTTTCTATTTATTCTTAACCCTTTCGTGACGGAGTATTTTCAAGATCATATAGCAAGCCCACATATACAAAAACGTATGCGTACGCTCTTCGTAACGAAAGGGTTAACTAAGAATATCATGGAATTGAATACAAAATCAAATCCTAACGAGGGGGGCCAACCTGGATCCTTTATCTAGTTAGTCTCTAATGAGATGACCTCAATCTACAAATATTACTAGAAACTCGTTTGTTTACACCTCAAATTATTAAAAGATTAGATTCTTCTGTTCTTGAAATGGGATGAGGAGACAGAAGAGGCACTGGACAATCTGTCTGTCAAATAATAAGGCTGAGAGTTTCCAAGAGTTCCAAATCTGTTACAACTCAACTGGAGAAACCTAAGGTTGTTTAAATCAAGGTAGTTGTAGGGCAGAATCCCGAACCGCAGTCTGTTGCGTACATTCCAAACAATAAGACAAGATATTCCATCTCTCCAAGAATGAAGTGTTGGGTCGCTTGTACCGAAGTTATTATCCCAAAAATTATAAATAGCCTCGACTTAATAACGTGACATCATACTATTTCAGTGCTAGCTTTGTTAACTGATGAGTTGACGTTATTAGGCGGTACTAAGTTTAGATCAGAGGAAAAGTCAAACCTTCATCATCGACGATGTGACACTCAAAGCCTATCACGAATTTGATGAAATCCAATTCGGACCAAGGAATAAGTAAAGAGCGGAGAAGTTCGCAACTGCTAAACAAAAAGAGGTTGTTGCTTCGTAGGTCATCACACTTTAAATACTAACTACGACACCATCGGCGATCTGTGCTAGATACCAAATTCAGACAAGGAAGAATACCTGGAAAGGTTGGGATGCACAGTAGACTGTCGAAGTTCCATTACGGCCTGGGAAAGATAAGAAAGAATGTGATGAATAGCTACTTAATTTCTGTTGAAAGATAAGTAAATTTTATTTTAATAAGCAAAATAGCTGAGTAAAAAATGCATTATATGCTTATAAGCATATATGTTATATGCATATAACATTAAATGCTTATAACCTGCAATGTTCGAAAACTTCTACACCATCTTTCAGACGTATTTGGGCATTTCCTGGATGAAAAAGAGAATTAATGAGGAGGCATTGCTGCTCAATCTAATAAGAATCACTATTCTGAGGAGAGATTCAGGGTTGGTCTACTGATCAGAAACTATCTCAAAATTTTTGTATTATGGGCTGTGCAGAAGTTGTTAACTTTTTAGTATCTTTCAATAATATCTTCCCACAAATGATTTCACTGCTGCTGTTGTATGAGACAATTATTTCTTTTAGCCGAAGGGAAAACTAGAGGTAGAACCGACAGCAATGACATGATTTGAAGTAACCAACGGTATTGCCGGATTTTTTGGGCTGAATAAAACTTTATCATAAAGCCGACTAATATCTGAATATCTGTTATGTTTCTTTTATTCCGATTTATTTGGTTTGGTTCTCGAGAGAAGTCCAACGGCGTGTGAGCTTGACCGCCACTTCGATAGATCCAGCATTTGGGTTCTGTTCTGTGAGAGGACTGGAACAACGGTTGAAGAAGTTGAAATCAAGAAAGTTTAAACAAATGAGATTTGAAAAATAAAATCGTTATAGTCTGTCATTTGAGTACTTATTGAGTGAAGGACTTATTTTTAGTAATATATTAGCCGAAACATCTGTTAGTATAATCTCCAGCACAATTATATTTGATATATGGGTGGAATCAACTATAACAGCTTAGATCCCTAAAATGCTTAATTGCAGACTTCAGTTCACTTTGTGAAAAGGCAATATACTTTAAGCTAAGACTTTATGTCAAAGCTATCGAATATTCTCCATTGAACCCTACATTCTACTTCGTTTGGTGTAAGGTGTAAAATCCCTCCATCAATCTATATAAGAGAACAATTGTATCTTTCTCTACGACGCAAAATTAAAGTGGCTAAAACACTAACGATTTTCTCTGAGATAAGAGTTGGAAATCCTAAATGCTCTGCAACGTAGCATGTGAAAATCCAACAATTATCGGTTGTTAGTAAACTTTCATGTACCCAACGCGACATATTACTTGGTCTCTCTCCTCCACGAAACTGTAATGCCTCTTTGGAGATTTTAGCAGCATGCTTGAAATTCTCTTTTGATCTGTGCAATAACTTGATAGTGACACGGTTTATTTAACACAAGGTCCTGCTTATTTAGAGGCAAAACTGAATTAACAGCGAAACCGCCTTAGACCAGGTGGATATTTATCTATATGTATACTAATGGTTTTGGAAAGCTTGTAAAAGCAGGAATATGCTATCAATGTCTGGGATAAGCAAGAAAAAATTTCAAAAGTAGACTGAGGGCAGACGCAATAAACTCAGGAGAACTGGCGTGAGACATGCCAAGATACTTATTGACAACTCAGTGTTCAAGAAAACTTTAGAAATTGATCAAGCTAATATTAAGGTTTTAAGAGGACTCTTTATCATACACTGTCGCTTACCTTAAAGGAAGAACCTAAATATATTGATATAAGTACGAAGGCTTTCACGGACGGTGTGAATTAAACTAAAATTAGAACTAAAACTAGAACTAACACTAGAAACTTTCGGGTTTTGCCGTGCAGTGTGTGAAACACTTCGAACCAGTTTCTGAAGAAGATTGCAACATGGCATCCGAAACGTCAAACCTTTTATTAAAAGACGCACAGCAAAACCCGAAAGTTTCTAGTGTTAGTTCTACTTTTAGTTCTAATTTTAGTTTAATAAATATATTGAGTTGATATTATATAAAAATAATTATGATTTTGATCATTTATGTATTTAACAAATTCTCCAACAAAGTTTTCTCTAAAACTGAAATTGTGGAAACAAGAAAACAAACAGGAAAATTATGTTTGAGAAACGGTACCTCGGTAAAAAGTCAACGTAACTCTTCAACATGGTCCACGCGGTTGCCCGCCAAAGTTTTCAAATTAAATTAGCGCCCTCCGTGTCCCAAAGCTCGTAATTTCATATTTATAACGGGGCGTAGTCTACGTTACATCACGTGGCCCACTGAGAAATTTATAATGAAGTTCTCCCCGAACGCGATATTAATTAAGAAGATTGAAGGCGCTTCGCAATGCAGTTTAGCCGTGCGACGAGGATTTTTTTCCTAGCAACGGATTTGAGAAAAAACGTAAACCGCGAGCTGAATTTCGAAGCGGTGCGATTTCAATGCGAAATACCGGCAGTTTTAAAATTCCAAAGAGTAATTTATTCGGCAAGTGCGGGTATACGCGTGAAGCGGGGACTGGTGAGCCCAAAAGGACGACGTCGACTCTTCATGAACCTGCGGCAACGTGTTTAGAATACAAATGAGGCTGGATAAAACCACGGCAGACCAAATAGAGAAATTCTCGGCCGGTACACATATATGTACACACGAGAAAACACTTTTGCGAACAGTGGAGTGCAGTTTTACTCGTCTCGATGTTACCTGTCGGACTAATGGCCATCGCACAGTAATGATCGTGGTTTCCAAATACTGCTTTTACTTTGCAAAAGTATTACATTTCAAATAACACCAGCCGAAGCCATGTTTAATGAGATTCAGAAAGTTATTTGTAATGGTTTGAGAAATTTTTGGGTTATACACCTTTAATTGAGGTCGGTTCTAAACAGTAGTAGTAATTGCGTCCCCCGGTAATTCAAAATTCATATTTTTCATGAATTTCAAATTAAAAATTGCTGCGAGAATTTCGAGTT